AAAAAACAAAACAAAACAAAATTTTGAGTTGTCAATTTTTATTTTGCTACTAATCTGTGATCTATCATTTGTTTCACTCATCTCTGGGATGTTAGGAATAAATACATTTATATGCTTGTATAATTGCACAATAAATCAACTATTTAAAAAAAAAGAAAAAGACATTATTAGGATATGTATGTCATTCATTGGTAGAGTGTTTGCCTAGCATACCCAGAGTCCTAGGTTTGATCTCCATCGTTGGAGAGAAAAAAAAAATGTTGTCAGCAGAGTAAAATAACAACCAATAAGATGGGAGAAAAGGAGAAAATATTTGCAAAGTACATATGTATCTGGTAAAGGATTGCTATCCAGACTGTATAAAGAACTCATAAAAATAAACAACAAAAACTCAAGCAACCCAGTTCAAAAGGGGGCAAAGAGGGCTGGAGAGATGGCTCAGTGGTTAAGAGTGTCCACTGCTCTTGCAGAGGATCCAAGTTCAGTTCCCAGCACCCACAGTGCATGGCTCACAACAACCTGTAACTCCAACTCCAGGGGGATCTGATGCCTGTGGCCTCCTTGGGCACCTGCACTCATAGACATACACATACAGTCTTTTTGAGGCAGGGTCTCCCTGCAGCCCCAGCTAGCCTGGAACTCACTATGTAGACCAGGCCAGCCTTCAGCTCATGGAGATCCTCCTGCCTCTGCCTCCCAAGTTAATAAAAATAAATATTTTAAGGACAAAGTGAACGGAGGGTGTAGCTCAGTGGTAGAGCACTTGCCTAACATGTGCCAGGCTCTGGGGTACAATCTTCAGCTCCACAAAAACAAATTAATAATGATGAAAAATGAACAAAGAACTTGAATAGAGATTTCTCCAAAGAAAGATACACAAATGTCCAATAAGCATTTGAAAAAATGCTCAGTGTCACTGGGCACTGGGAGACTGCAACTCAAAACTACAGAGAGATCACACTCTCCCCATCAAAATATTTCTACAGAAAATATCTGGCCAGTAACAGTGGCACACACCTTTAATCCCAACATTTCGGAGAGGCAGGCAGATCCCTGTGAGATCAAGGTCAACCTTGTCCACATAACAAGTTCCAGGTCTGCTGGGGCTACAGAGACACCCTGTCTCACAAAAGAAGGAAGGAAGGAGGGAGGGAGGGAGGGAGGGGAGGGAGAAGAAAGTAGCAAGTCTGCTGAGGACATGGAGACATTGGAACTCTACAGCTGCTATGGAAAATGGTTTGGTACTTCCTCAAAAAAATAAAGGGGGCTGGAGAGATGTCTCAGCATTTGAGAGCACTGGTTGTTCTTGCAGAAGACCCAGATTCAAATCCCAGCACCACATGGTGGCTAACAACAGTTCGAAACTCCAATTCCAGGGAATCCAGTGTCCTCTTCTGTCCTCCATAGGCATTGCACCATATCGGTGTACTTACATACATGCAGGCATAACACTCATACACATAAAATAAAAATAAATAATTTTTTGAAAACAAAATAAAAATAATATGTGATCTAGCAAGTCTACTTCTGGATGTACACTCAAAAGAATTGAAGCAGATCTTGTAGAACTGTCTGTGCACCCATGTTAAAAGCAGCATCATTCACAAGAAGTTTAAAACGTTGAAGCAACAAGCATCCAGCAACAACAGATAAATGGACCAGTAAAATGTGTTCTGGCCACACTAAGAAATATTATTCAGCTTTTAAAAGGAAAGAAACTCTGATATGTGCTACAAAATGGATGAGCCTTGAAAACATTAAATGAAATAAAGCAGTGAGAAGACGACAAATACTGTGTAATCCCCAACATTCAAGAGGCTGAGGCAGGAGGATCACAAGTTCAAGGCCAGTTTGTACTGGTTATCTGGGGGAAGGATGAAGACAAGTACTGTGTGATTCTACTTACAGGAAGTTGTTCAAGTAGTGAAATCACAGAGACCCCAAATGAATGGTGCACTGGGGTGGTGAGCAGTAGAGGGGTGGTGAGCAGCAGGAAGTTGCTGTTTTGATACACAGAGTTTCCATTTTACATGAAGAGTTCTAGAGATGGTGATGGGCCTGCAACGATGTGACTGTATTTCATACCACCCAGCTGCCCACTGAAGAATGGTTAAGATGGAATGAATGAGATGGCTCCACTGATGACCTGAGTTCAATCCCCAGGACCCCTACAGCATAAGTAAAGAATGAACTAGTTGTCCTCTGACTTCCACACATGCACCGTGACACACGTGCACCCACACAGATACAGACACACATGCACATGAAAGAAATCAAATGTAAAAATAATTAAGATGGCGAATTTGATGTTTGTTTTACCACACCTTTTTAAATAGAAAATCTAAACTAATACCAATATATACATAATTTTTAATTTGTTGCAGGAAGGGTCCTCATGCATATCTGACAGACAAAAAGCTTTGTGGTATTTAAAAGGGGGGTGGGGGTAAAACAGCAGGGGCAAAGGAAAAAAGCCTCACTAGCTGAGTGAAGCTTCCAGCCCCAGCTTCCTTCCGTTCCAGAATTCCGTCCGCCTCAGCATTACATGGATCCTTAACAGGATGAACTTTTCAACACTTCGTTTCCTAACGCTGCATCCGTGTGCTCATCTGCTTTTAGCAAAAGATCTTGTTCCCCCAAAATTTTGTGGTTTTGTGCTGTCTTTACCAAGCCTCGGTGTCAGATTGTCATACCTCAGAGTGTCCCAAAGGGGGCGCAGCGACTCAATATTAAGGTGGAAATCAGAGCAGCATAGAACAGGGGCTGCGGGAGGAAGTCCGCAGAAGCGGTGCAGAAACCAGCCGCCTATCCCGGGAGCCTGGTAGAGTCACCGGCCCTCACACCCTCCCCAGCCCCCAGCATCAGAACTTGCGTCTTAAGAAGATTCCCGGTAATTTATGCACGAAAGCTTGAGAAACTCTAGTCTTAGTCAGGGAAGCTGCTTCCCCGGGTCAGTTAATGGCTGCTGGAAGAGAGACATTTCGTTCTGTAGTAGAGCCACTGATAAGGTGCTGGTGCTGTCGAAACAACCCCTCACCCATGCCTCTGTCCTCTCCACGCAACTCTAATGAAACTCATTGAGCCACACACACAAAAGGCATGAGGGGCTGGAGAGATGGCTGAGTGGTTACAAGTCTTTGCTGCTCTCGCTGAGGACCCAGTTAGGTTCCTAGCTCCTACATGGTGGCTAAAACCTTCCTCAACTCCAGTTCCAGGGGGCCTGTGGAAACCGAGGTCATTGCATGCATGTGGTTGCCTGGAGGCAAAACACTCATACATATAAAATACAAATAAGGGACTGAAGAGATGGTTTCCCGGTTAAGAGCACTGGCTGCTCTTGCAGAGGACCCAGGTTCAAATCCCAGCACCCACATAGTGGCTAACAACCGTCCAAGGCTCCAGTTCCAGGGAATTTGACACCTTCTTCTGATCTCCACAGGCTTTGCATGACATAGGTGCACTCATATGCATGCAAGTAATACACTCATACACATGAAATAAAAATAATAAAGTATTTTTTTGTCTTTTTGAGACATGGTCTGTCTGTGTAGCCCTAGCTGTCCTGGAACTCACTATGTAGACCAGGCTGGCCTTGAACTCATAGAGATCTCTCTGCCTCTGCCTCCCAAGTGCTGGGATTAAAGGCATGTGCCACCATGCCTGGCTAATAAAGTATTTTTTAATTAAAAATTAATAAAAAAAGAGTATGTGTCTGCTGAATTGCTTGCAAAATTTGGGGACCTATCTATGTTCCCCACAATGATGGTATGTCCCAGTGCAAACCTTATCTTTGACTGTATCTACCCTGTCACCCACATAGTGGCTACTAACAACAGTCCATAACTCCAGTCCCAGGAGATCCAACATGCTCTTCTGGCTTCCACAGACACAACATGGGTGCACTTATATACATGCAGGCATAACACTCGTATACATAAAAATAAAAAGTTTAAAAAGTGATCATTATAAAAATAAATACACAAATAAAAAATAAATAATTTTTTTAAGCTATGAAAGTAGAAGGAGGAGTAATTAGGAAGAGGAAGGGGATCAGAGGAGGGGACAAGAGAGTAATAATGGGGTGAATATTATCAAAATATATACATGTGTGAAAATATCTTAATGAAATCCATTATAGTGTATAATTGATATATGCTAATAAAACCTTAAAAAGTGAAAAAGAAAGGGAGGCTTCTTCCTCCAGGGAAAGGAAGATGAGCAGAGAAGCTGGCAAAGTATCCCCCCACAGGCCCCCAAGTCTGTTACTTTAATCAATCAGCTAGCATCAACCAAGACAGAAGTGAAGCCACAGAGGAGGAGGGAAGTCCTTTCATAGCTCACAACTGAACTGGTTTGTTCTTCCATTTCAATAAATGTCTATTGAGTCTGGCTGCTCTCTGGTCTTTCATGAGCAAGGACAGACCCATTCCTGCCTGCAAGGAGCTCTCAGACTGGTAGGATGCTGAGAGAGAATGCTGAGTCCATAGGGGAGGGAGAAGAGGCCAGGAGGGGGCTGGTTTTTAAAGAATGATCCCAGAAGGCCTGCTGAGGAAGTGAGCTTTAAGCTGGAGAGCTGAGGGAAGCCTGGGGGTTGGCCAGGAAACAGCACAGAGTTCCTGGCAGGGGAACAGAATGTACAACGGTCATACAACAGGGAGGACCCGGCACGCACTCAAGGAACTGAAAGACAGGCACTGCTTGAAGCTAGGGAAGGCAGAGAGGAAGCAGATAGCAGCAGCCTAGAGGAGCCAGGGACCAGAGGACACAGGGCCCCTCAGACCCCTGAGAAGGTAGTCTCCAAAGGCCCCAAGTGACTGTACTTGGCTGTTTCTCAGGGCTCCCATTCCCAACGGCTGATTCCCCAGGTCTGTTGAGTTTCCATCTCCCTGCATCCTGCTCTTTCCTCTGCTCATCTTTCCCTCACCCTGTCAACACCAGCCACCTCTCTCTGTCCACCTTTACCTTCCACTGTCCTACATCTTCCTCACTCTGTTTAAAAAGGGCTCACTCTAGCAGCACGTGTACTAAAACTGGAACAATGCAGAGCTTAGCATGGCCCCTGTGTGAGGATGGCATGAAATTTGTGAAGCGGCTCATATTTTTTAACATGGGGAGGAAGGTGGAGAGATGGCTCAGCTGTTAAGGGCATTTACTGCTCTTCCAGAAGATCCAAGTTCAGTTACCAGCACTCACACTGGGCAACTCACAACCACTTATAACTTCAGATCCAGGGGCTCTAAGGCATTCTTCTGACCTCTGCTAGCAACCCCCCAACACACACACATACACATTTAAATACTGTTAGAGCAAAGGACGTCACGGTGAATATCTGTAACCCAGCATTTGGGAGGATGAGGGGACACAATCCCAGGTTTGAAGGAAGCCTAGGTAGGCTACACAGAGAGACCAAGTCTCAAAAAACTAAAATAAACTGGACCTTTAATCCTAGCACTTGGGAAGCAGAGGGAGTTTGAACTCTGTGAGATCCAGGCCAGCCTGGTCTACATAGTGAGTTCCAGGCCAGTTGGGGCTACAGTGAGACCCTGCCTCAAAACTAAACTAAACTAAACTAAATAAAATAAAATAAACAGGAAAAAAAGCCAGAGGTCTCTTCATCCAGCTGGTCCAAGCAACAACCTCAATGTCCACACCACTTCCCACCCTGAAAAAAGGCCATAAGTCAGAAATCACCATCATTTATAAGCATGTGCTGTGCTAGGTATCACTTCACAAATTGTTTTCAGCCAATCCTCAAAACCGTTGTATTAGAGCCAGGTGTAATAGCACACACCTGGAATCCCAGCACATCAGAAGACAAGGAGGGAGGATCACCACAAATCAAGGCCAGCCTGTTCTACAGAGCATGAGCCTTTGCGATCAAACAAACAGAAAAAATGCTGGGAATATAGCTCAGTGGTTAAGTGCTGACCCCACATGTGTGAGGCCATAAATTCAATTCCTACCATTGAGAAGAGGGGAGGGGGAGGAAGGAAAATGATTGTATTAGATAGCTACTAACATATTCCAGTTTTATAGTTGAGTGAATATGTACTTTTCTGAAGTGTAAAGAGAGTCAATTGGTAGAATCCATGTGGGTGGACCTACTAACTGATGTTTGGGACCAGAAGTGTTTTGGATTTCATAAATATTTGCATGTTCTTAATAGGATATCTTGAGGATGGAACCACATCTAAACACAAAAATCATTGTTTCCTGTATGAAGCAGGATATTTAAGACTGGAAGAGCCGGGCATGGTGGCGCACGCCTTTAACCCCAGCACTCCAGAGGCAGAGGCAGGTGGATCTCTGTGAGTTGGAGGCCAGGCAGGTCTAAAAAGTGAGTTCCAGGCCAGCCAGAGCTGCATAGTGAGACCTTGTCTCAAAAAGAAAAGGAAAAAAAAATAGAATGGAGGGAACATGAGAAGGGAAAGTACTCTCCTCACCATCCTGCCTCTGGTTCCATATCCCCCTGGCTGTAACCCAGGAGTTTTTCACTTAACTGACCTACAAAACAATTTACTCCCCTTTCTGTGAAACTTCACAAACTAGATTGTTACAAAATGACTAATGAGCTATGCCTTAAATCCAGCTTCCTCATGACTATATATAAGTAGGACTCCTTTTGATCAATGTTTTTCTACTAACCCTCCCTTCTCCCACATAATGTACCAAAAATAAAAGTATCCTCATCAAGAACAAAATTCCCTGGGTAAGAAAATTGAGGCCAATCTGGGCTATCTAGCAATTTCTGAGTTACATAGTGAGACCCTGTCTTAAAAACTCAAGGCTTAGCCAGGCATGGTGGCATGCCTTTAGTCCCAGCACTGGGAAGGCAGAGGCAGGCAGATCTCTGTGAGTTTGAGGCCAGCCTGGTCTACAGAGTGAGTTCCAGGCCAGCTGGAGCTACAGGGAGACCCTGTCTCAAAAATACAAAAGAAAAAGAAAGAAAGAAAGAAAGAAAGAAAGAAAGAAAGAAAGAAAGAAAGGAGAAAAAAGAAAAGAAAGAACCCTCAAGGCTTGGGACAGTAGTTCAGTGGTAGAGCAGTTGTAACCCTTAGCACTGGAAAAAGAAAAACTAAAGTATATATTGGAATGTTAGACTGAAAACTGTTGACAGTGGTTTTATTTTTTCTGTATTTTCACTAACTGAATTTTCAAAGTGTTTTTAAACCAAGAATATCTGTTTTAGAAAGAAAGGCAAGAAAAAAAATACATATACATATATAGTAAAAAGAAAAAAGGAAGGGGTATCTGCACTTTCCCCTTTATTATGTTCTATTATCTATTAAAAAAAATGGGGGCTGGAGAGATGGCTCAGCAGCTCTTCCAGAGGACCTGAGTTCGATTCCCAGCACCCACATACATGGTGGCTAACAACCGTCTGTAACTCCAGTTCCAGGAGAGCTGACACCCTCTTTGGGCCTCCTTGAGCTTTACACAACATGAGTACACTTACATACATGCAGGCAATGCACTCATACACATAAAATATTTTTTTTTTTTTTTGGTCTTTTTGAAGCAGGGTCTCCCTGTAGCCCCAGCTGGCCTGGAACTCACTATGTAGACCAGGCTGGACTTGAACTCACAAAGCTCCACCTGCCTCTGCCTCCCAAGTGCTGGGACTACAGGCGTGCGCCACCACACCTGGCATAAAATAATATTTTTTAAAAAAATAAAAGATACTGCTCTGCTGAGAACATTTTTAAAATATTTTTCCTTATTACAAAAACACTATATACTTGCCAGAAAGAAAAAAAAAAAAACAAAATTACAAAGTTCAGACAGGCAAAAAGAAGAAAGAAAAAAAAAAAACCCATATTCCCTCCTCCCCAGGCACAACAGTATGTCCCCTTTGAGACTTGGCAAGCTATTTTTTCAGGGTGGTTCCTACTGTTCCATCTGGGGACTCACCACGGCCCAGCCTGTTGCCATTACTAGAAACAGGAGTTTGGAAGGAAGCTTTCAGTTTCCTTTTACACTCCATAAACAGTTCCTAAGATGAGTTTGCCTGGCCTCACGCTGTTTGGGATTCCCTGGAAAACAATTTACTTAGGGAGAGATCAGTGGCCCTGGTCCGTTTTGAAGCACAGTGGCCCTTGTATGGCACAGGGGACAAATGTTGTCAAGTATGGGGACCATAATGTGACTCCCAACACATTCAGATTGCAACACCCTATCACTGTGAGATTTTGCAACCCTGCTTCCCTCTTCAAAAAGAACTGAAAGACATCCATCCATTTGCACAGCCCAGTTACTACTTTTCCATGCCTGCACAGTTGAAGAGAATTGAGATCAGTGTGGCTCCCACAACCTTCCTTCCTGCTGGCAATCAGTCCTGGGGTGTCCTCAGTTAAGGCTTGGAATTGCAGCTTGGAGTCGCTGTGTAGGCAGGTTCTGCACTCACTAGGCCTGAGAGTCCACATCCTGGGCCAAGATGTCCCTGGGCCAGTCTCACACACGCGCACACACACACACACACCAATAGGTTGCCAAGGCCCACCCAGAACACACCCTCTGCTGCTAAACTCCCCCTCTCCCGCCCCGGGTACAGCTCCTGACATGCAGACCCACTGGGTCCACACCCTCAGCACAGGCCTGGGGCGGAAAACGTTCCTAGAGCAAAGGGATGTGCCCACTGCTGTGTGAGGCAGACCATTCGTGGTTGTTTCAGAAGATGCTAGTGCCCCAGCCCTAGCCTCACCTCCCATGCAAGCTCTGTAGGCTGAGCTGGTCTCACTGTGATTCAGTGAGGTCAGTCTTTCTTAAAACTTCAAAGATCTAGTCGGGTGTGGTGGCACATGCCTTTAATCCCAGCACCCAGGAGGCAGAGGCAGGTGGATCTCTGTGAGTTCAAGGCCAGCCTGATCTTACATAGTGAGTTCCAGGACAGCTGGGGCTACAGGGAGACCCTGTCTCAAATGGGGTACCTCTCACCATAATAATAACTTCTGATTATTAAGCTCCATACGTGCCAGGCAGTTTACAAACATGTAAAACACAACAGTCTTTGGAGGCAGACATAATTATCTCTGTAGATTTCTGAAGGTCCAAGAAATGAAGAGATCAGTTCAAGGAAAACAACAACTGCCCAAGACAGGAGTCAGCCCCGACCTGAGGAAAACCAGAAAGCTGGAAAACTCATTCACAGTCATCTGGGACTCATGACTTGCCAGGTGCTATTCCACCACTAACAAACAGCAACACATGTCATGAGATGGGAAATTCTTTTTGTAGAAGAAGAAAACTGACACAGCAGAGTAAACTACCCAAAGCCAATTGCAGACAGAGCCTGGACCTGAAACTGGCTCTAGAGCCTGTGCTGCCTCTCCAACCTCAGCCACAGAGAGCCCCTCCTCTTGGTCTTCCTCCTTTGACTTTTCCTCATTTTTTTCTGAGTCTACTACAAACTTCAAACTTCCTCATCTCCCTCTGGGTTGTGGTGGTGTTCTCTTATGAAACTACTTTGTGAAACCACATATTGTGCAAAGCCACATTTGATTAGATCACTCTTTATAGCCCTCTCCCCAAAGAACTAAGAGTTCTAAAAGGCTTATCAATGCAAAGGTCCAGAGTCATTTAAGAGTCATTTTTGTCTCAATAAGGGCCCTATGAGGTCTGTGATCAAAAAAGACAACATAGACCCCTCACCTCCAATGAAATAGTGACGAAGCCAGCATACAGGCTGCATGTAGTGATGCACACCTGTAATCCTAACAGTCAGGAGACTGAGACAGGAGGATCACAACTTCAAGGCCAGTGTGAGTGACATAGCCAGATTCTGTCTTTAAAAAAAAATGAATGAGGGCTAGAGAGATGGCTCATTGGTTAAGAGTACTGGCTGCTCTTGCAGATGACCCAGGTTCCATTCCCAGTACCCACATGGCAGCTAACAGCTGTCTGTAACTCCAGTTCTAGGGGATCCGATACCCTCTTCTGATGTCCATGAGCACTGCATGACACAGGTGCACTTACATACATGCAGACAAACAGTCATATATATATAATAAAATAAAACATTTTTTAAATGAATGAATGAAGCTGGATGAATGTGCCTTTAATCCCAGTACTCAGGAGGCAGAGGCAGGCAGATTTCTGTAAGTTCA